GTTATTATTCTGAATATTGCATCTGTGTTTCATTTGTGAGTCATAAATCCAGCAGGCATGGATTTCACATGGAGATTTCCTATAGCTTGCATGGAAAGACACTAAATTGTATCAAGTACCCTGGCTGCAGTGCCTGAAATAGCTAAAAAATTGAATTATGTTGGATACAAAAAGTGGTAGCCACACTAGAAACATTTGGTTCTAGGCTTTTGCAATTAATAATACAGTTAGATAACTATCACTCCTGTGTGGAAAGAACAAGATATTTTAAAGTGTTTTCTGGATTTTTAGTGAAGGGAAGCAAATAAAAAACAATTGAAAATGAAAAGTATTTTGTCTCCCAGCAGCTAAATCTTTTACTATAATACGTTAAGCATTTTGAGTACCTACTAGGAGAAATTATATATATATATAAAAGTGTAGTTAAATGCACCTGATGATTACATACAAATCTATATTGTAAACCACGTTTTCAGGTCTTTCTTTTACTATCAAATACAAATGCAAACCCGCTTGCTCTGAGTTCATCTGTAGTTCTTGTTTACGGCCCATTTTGATGAGCATACTGAGTACGTAGTATAAATACCTAGAGAAAGCAAGTGTACAAATATTTAGAGAGATTCCCCATCTGCAATCAAGATCTTCAACTGCCAACAACATAACTACCTTCACAGCCGTTGTGACACGACATGAGCTGATAAACCAGGGATAAACAGAAGTAGGTGAATTCTGAGGATGAAACCAAATCTATTTCAAAGACATTGTCCTGATAACTCCAGTGATGAATTTAGTAAACAGGGAATGGCCTTGAATACTAGAATCAGTTTTACACAGTATGTGCAAAGTCTTTTTTTATTTAAATTTTTTCTACAAACCGTTGCATATTTCCAGATGTAATTTCCCCCATAATGTACTAAACCCCGTGTCTGTAGGCAGCCCTTGCACCCACTAAACAGAAAGGATGCCGCACTGTTCTCTTACCGAGAGGAAGTTGGGGAGCTCTTTTTCCAGGAGAGTCTTTAGCTCTGCTTTGGTGAGGGTTTGCCTGTTGCCGTCGGTCTTTGCATACTTGTCAAAGACAGCAATGGTCAGGCCCATCGCAGTTTCCAGCTGAGACATGTTGCTGCTGGAGTCTGGCTTTCTTCTGAACAGGAACAGCCTCAGGGCTCTCTTGGAGGACGGAGACCGGTCTTATTCCAGGGTTCTTTATGCAACTGTCCCATCCAATCAATGGTCACACACCAGAGGGACAGTTATCCCTTGGCAAACATCCGTATCTGAGCACTGCTTGGAGTACACGCCTCTGTGCTGACAGCTATTCAAAACTCAAGCTTTATCACCCTGGTGTGGCCAGTACAACCAGTTGCTCACCAGCAGAAACCAGCCTCTCCTTCAAGACACACAGTGTGACTAACGAATGAAAATCAGATTTTGATACTGTCTGTTTGCTCAAGAATCAGATTTGTTCCTTCAGATATGCCCAGCTGAGCAGAGGGGCGAGAGCCCAGATTCGGCAGAGGATGTGCTAGCCTGCTCAGGAGGAAGGGGAGCATCGCGCTCCTCCTCACTCCCGCAGTTAGGGGCCCTGCGAGGTGCTGCCTGTGCTGAGCCAAGAGCAGACACGGACTGCCCTCTCTGCCATGCAGAGGACCTTGTTGCAGACCAGATGGCTCACTAGCACACACTGGGGGTGGGATTCACTGGATCAAAAGTAGAGGTCTGCCATGCAGACAGCTAACTTAGTCGCCCTGGGCTTGCACTCAGGCCAGAGTGGATGTCTGAAACAGCTCTGATGAACCAGCACCTCTCCAGGGCCAGTGAAGGGAGCCTTGCAGAGCTACTCCACAAGTTCAGATTGGGATATCCAAAGGAATAAATCTGGGACTTGAGCAAACAGCCAATATCAAAATCCATCTTGATCTGCAGCGAAATAACTGTTATTGACCCTATGCAGCATCAAACCTTGAAATAAAATGGACTGTACTGAAAACAAAAGGTCACTTTGAAGTCCTGTGGTCCTCTGTGGCTTCTGAACTTCGTGATTTGCCTGAAAACTGTGGTCCCCATCGTTAAAGCGCCAAACACACCAGACCCACATCTACACACAACAGAGTTGCTTGAGGGTCTGCACTGGGAGCTGGTGGTGTATGGACAGTGTCAGCGGTACATGGACTCAGCTACAGCTACACTGAGTTTTGAAGCAGTTAAAGTTTCTGGTCAAGCAGCAGGGTAATTGGCCTTTGTCAAACTCCAGGTGGCTATGCTAGACCTGGAGGAGCTCATTTAGGGTGAGTTACATCTACACTAGAGTCTGCAGAGTGGACACAGTCTCAGCAAATTATTTGGGGAACCTATCAAAACTAGGGCATCATGCATGCACTGCTGATGGACCCCAGGGTGCAGTGTTCTCTGTAGAAGACTCTGGCTGTGGATTCCTAAAATTAAACCTGAGTTTGGATATCTTTGGATGTACCTCTGCGTGCTCGAGGTAACTTTCCACTCATGCTATGCTATAGACAAGTTAGCAAAAAATGTTTTTTAATTCTAAAAAAATTTAAAATCAAACTCTTTTCTCCCAGACACCTAGAGCCACCCATTCCCCAGGCAAAATCTGTCCTGTAACATCTACAACATCTCAGAGCAAGACTACACACCACAAATACATGGACAACTAGTACCTTTCTGAAACAAAACCCCCATGATTTTCCATCTTACTTTCTCCAAGAAGGGATTTTGCATTTCCCAGCAAATCAGGGCAACATCTCAGGCTGTATGCTTTATTCAAACAGTCAATGAGAACTATTTGTTCCTGATTTGCATTAAGTGGGTAAAGGTTTTAAGTAAAGTCTGAAGTTTTTGCATTAAAATGTATGTTAAAACCTGTGGGGTTCCTTCAGAAGAAGGAACAAGGAGAGAGCAAACAACTGGCTCCTGTTAGCTGTGAAAATCATCTGGTGTTTGCATGCACACACAAGGGCAGTTGCTGGTGCGAAGTGCCAGGAACTTTTCTTTGTCCTTTCCTGACATATATCTGTAACATGACTATTAAACATGGCCATTAAAGAAAAGTCAATTCCCTCCCTCTAAAGGAAAACCTAACAAAATAAAACGTCTACTTCACACATTCTTATGACTTTGAATCATGAACATTGGTGTTAGTCATAAAGAAGAAGGATAAAAAGTGCCCCAAAAAGGCAGAGGGGGAGATCATCAGCTTCAGTCAGTATGTCCACACCTTTGCCACATAACCTGGAAGAAAAGGTGTCCTCATTCTCGACCCATTTTCCTCTGCAAACACAGGTGACACACAAATTTTGAGAAGATAGCTCCAAAAGTGCTAAAACACAAAATCAACCACAGGACTTGAACTTCTGCAAGCTGAAAGGTCACTGTGGTTGCACTGCCTGGTTGGCTTTTTTTTTTTTTTTAATGTGTTATATTTGTATTCATGCATGCGCACACACATCGGCACTGCTTAGAATTTTCAATTCACAGTTTTTGTACTGTTTAAATATTTTCTTACAATTTGTTCTTCATTAAAAATAGCAGTTCTGTGCAAAAGGCACAGACTATTACAACTGTTTGCAAAACAAAGCAGAGTACAAATAGGAGGCACACACAGGAGAGCAAGCAGTGTTTTGATGCCAACCCATCTGTCAAGCTCCCCAGTGAGATAAGCCATTTTCTGTGGGCTTGTTTAAATATTATATTATTATTTTAATGTAAACAATACCCATTATTTGCTTCTTTCAGGTTTCTTTCTTTGAAGAATGGTATAGGCAGCAGCTTGAATGAATATTTACTGAGAGTTTATACAGAATCAGGTCTTGCTGTTCCTCAATTTGGCCAAAAGTTTCAATTATTTATGTGACAAAATGTGGACTGTCACACACATAATCTTCAAAAACTAGTCAGATATACTGAAATTTTATGGCATTTGGCCAGATGTTCAGGCTTACATCTGATTTGTGTGACCTTGTGCTGATTTTCTCTTAGAGAATAAATTTTATCCTATGCTCTTTACAGCAGCGTCTGTTTTGGAAAAGTCTGAATAAATACATTTAGCAGCTCTACTCTAAAGAGCCGTTTGTGTCACAGCCAGCTGAAGAGCTGAAATGGGATAGCTGAAATGTTAAACTTCTATTAGATCTTATAATCCTTTAAAGCTTATTCCAGAAGGTGCAGCAAGTTACATGAGAAGGACTTTTTCACAATTTCCACAAATCTGTTATGTACCTGAAAGGAAGAAGCAGGAGGAAGAAAATACAACCTGAAACGATGAATTTGTTGTTTCTCTTAAGTTGTACCTTGGCAGCAGTACAAAAAGCACTTTATTTTTCTCTTAGCAAGAGGATAACGTCTGAACCATAAACAAGCATTCCATGTTCCACACTGAAACAAAATTATCCAACCCCTCAAATTTTCCAGTGTCCTGGATTGTTTGTTGAACTTAATGAACACACTTCATTTACTAAAGAGCAAATTTTTCCTTTGCACTGCTTCTAAAAACTTGCTCTAAGTCTGGTTAACAGTTTTTAAAGGTCATTTCATTTCCACAATGCATGGTAAATTTACGTTGTTTTGCAAAACACAGAAAGATTAGACTTAACTTAGACAGGCACTGACAAGGCACAGACAGAAGAGTTTGTACAAGCACAGTGTGATGTTCGGTGACATTGTATAGGTTCTGTAAATCATATACATATAGGTTCTCATTATTTTATTATAATTTACTGTTCAAAATATCCTTAAAATGTATTTCAAAACCACAATTAATAAGCTCAGATACTGTTTAAATGAAGTTTAGGGGCAGGTAAAATGGGAAAGACCAAGGTCAACTAACAGGCTGTGTGACTTTCTGAGTTGGGGTAATAACACTGTCACCTGGCAAAGTTGTACCATGGGAAACATACTTCTATCATTGTATATTGACTCTAATCAAACATGTTTATTAGTGCACTAGACACATCCATATTAGACTGTAAGATCAATGAATATATTACAGCCAATAAATTAATATTTACAGTGTAAATACTTCTCTCTTGTTTTCAGTCCTTGATTGAATAATATCCTGGATGCTAATCTGTATAGATTTTTTTATACTTCACTTTTAAGGTTCATGATATTAAGGCTTCCAAGACTAGTTTTGTCTTTTATTGTAAGGACAGAAACAGAGGTCACACCCTAAGGTAACAATATTGTCCACTCAAGTGCATTAGTCATGATTTTGAAGTACCATGATTCCTCAGCCGGTCTCACACAGGCAGTCCAATTGTCATTTGCTCTACCTTAATGCCTATAAAATCCTACTCATGCCGAGAAAAATCCATCATGCTGAGCTGTGGTCACCATCACAAAAAGCTGTTCTATGGCATGGTGAGAACAAACAGGAAAAAAAAAAACAAAGAGAAAAAAGTCAAAGAAGAAAAATACAAAGACAAAAAGAAAGAAAAAAAAGAAAAAAGAAAAAAGAAGAAAAAAGAAAAGGAAATGAGCTGTGAGAGGGTACGGTTGTTTTGTAAACTTTGAAACAGACAGCATGAGCCTTTTAAAGGAAGTTCCTATTTGCCAGAGAGAGGTAAAGACACACACGAATGAGTCAGTTCCAAGAAAGCTTTCAAAAGACCTTTGACACAAAGGATATTCTGGCTGTGTTAAGCTCTCATGAACTAAGCAATACCATTTTTCCTTTATTGGACAAAAACATTTTCTCAGAGGGAAGGAATCCCAAAGAGCAAGTGGCCTTCTGTTGAGTGTCCGTGCAGGCAACACATCAAGAAAAAACTTTTGCATTCACCATTAAAATATTTTTTTTGGCATTTAAAAATATTAATTTATGCATACATTGAAGAAACAAGAAGGGCTGATCTGCTGTCACAGAACTGTGAGTGAAGTGAGATGATATCCATATACACTGTCAGTAAGATTTCCAAGGCAATTTGATCGAGTGGAATTTCCCTAGGCACACACATTTCACAGAGCTGGCTGCTTTTGGTTTCCAGAAAGTAATCATGGGTGTAGTGCAACTGATAAGAAGATGTAGGGCTTTTTTCAGTAAGCAAACACTGCCATGGTTTTGTCATTGTTAACAGGGCAGCAAATGAGCACACCAGGCTGAG